CTGTCCTCCTACCTACACCTCTCTCCTCTCTTCCAACCACCCCACACATCCCACCTCCTTCCTTTCCTCATCCTTCGGATGCAGTTTGGGGGTACTGGCCGAGCATCTCCTTTTCATAAAACTTTACATTATTTCTCTACAACATTTTAATACACCAACTTTTACATATCTCTACCCTCCTTCATCCCCCCTCCCCCCCCGGACTTCCCAGAACTGAATACAGGGTTAAGCACATATCATCCCAAGTCTAATTAAAACTACCCAGCAATAATACAATCAAATATAAATATACTTTAACTCTAAAAACGAATAAACAAATATCAACTTAACATAACTATAAAATATATACAATAACTATATCCAGGTGAGTATTTTATTTGCTGCTTTTTTAATGACATCCAATCCAAAATGATTCTCCAATCATTTCATAAGTTGCAGAATAGTTATATTTATGTGTGTGTATGTATATGTAAGGCCTTAAATTATTTCAGCTTAAAGTTTTTATCAAAATAAGAATGACACAACCCAAAACTTTCAGTTGTCAATTCTTACATTGAGATTGTATGACTTGTAGGAAACTTTTATCAATATAAATATTTTTATTGATATTTAGTTTAGTTTTTAACAAATTGTGAAGTTGTTGAATAAATATATATTTTATTTTACAGGAATCTCATGAACAGTGTGTTCAATGGATTGTAAGGTTCATACATAGTCAACATAGTCCTAAAAGAATTTCTTTTCTATATGATTGTTTAGCAATGGCTGTGGAGACTGGGTTACTGCCACCCAGGTATGTTCCTTTTAGATAAACTACAGTAGATAATTTATTATAGGAGATCAGTTGCTTAAAGATGATAATAATAATAATAATAATAATAATAATAATAATAATAATAATAAATAATAATAATACATCAGATCTGCTTAGAAAAGATACTACTCATTGTGTTTTTTCTTTAATTTTCTTAGAATGGTTTGTGAATCTCTGCTGAATTCTGACAATCTAGAATGGGAAAGGACACAGCTTTGGTCTCTGACATTTAAACTTGTTCAAAAAATAATTGGTGGTGTAGACTACAAGGTAATAACTATACATATATGCTATTTTTTTATAATGCAGCAATAATAGCTTCCTTATATTTTATAGCCTTATACTTAACATCTATGTATTTGTTTTTAAGATTTATAAGGCTGCCCAACTCAAACAGTGGCATCTTTTGGATACCATACAGCAGGGGTGTCAAACTCAATTTCATTGAGGGCCGCATCAGCATTGCAGTTGCCCTCGGGGGCCGGGTGGGTGTGGTCAGAGTGGGTGCAGCCTACTGGGTGGGCGTCGATGGAGTAGGTGTGGCCTACTGGGTGAGCATGGCCTACTGGGTGAGCATGGCCAGTTCGCGTCAAGGGTGCCTGTGGGGGCCTGGGCAGGAGTGGGACAGATCTGAGGGTCTCTGGCAGAAGGGGGTGGGACCGGGGCAAGCGCCAAGGCATGGTCCATTTCTTCATTCCTCACAAAGGGTGACACCTCCCCAGCATGCACCCAGGGAGCGGGGCCGACATGGCAGGGGCAGGGGCTGGTTCCTCGCTGTTTCCAGACGACCTTGTGGAGCTAAGACTGAATGCCTTTCAGCATAGATGACCACCACAAAATTGTACATTGGCTCCCGGCCGGCCTGGCCCAGGGCCAAGGCAGCGGGGGCCATTCCCTCACTGTTTCCAGGATGGCTTCGCGGGCCACATGAAACCACTTCGCGGGCCGCATCTGGCCCCCGGGCCTTGTGTTTCACATGTCTGGCATACAGCATAAAAACAAGCAATAAACCATCTCCACCCCCATATGTTATTAAACATGTACAATATATAATATATAAAATTAAATGTCTATGATAAAGATAGGAGATGGAGCTATATTTTCAATTTATTCTAATGTAGATTATAATGACTTACGAATTATAACAGTCTATAATGAATTCAGTAGTAGAATTGGAGAGACCTTAATTACCTGCTCCAGTGATTCTATTTTACCTGATGTTACAATCTAAATTATTATCAGATCAGTCAATAGTATTTCTAGTCGTAAGGGTTCAGACATCTCAAATGGNGTTATAAAGAAGAAAAGTGAAACACGTAGAAAAAACGAGATACACAAAAATTATCACCATAGAAAAAACGAGATATACAAAAATTACCACCATAGAAAAAACGAGATATACAAAAATTACCACCATAGAAAAAACGAGATATACAAAAATTATCACCATGTCAGTTAATACTTAGTTGGGGAACCTTTAGCATGAATTACGGCCTTACAACGTCTTCCCATGGAGTGAACTAAGTCCTTTAGTTCTGCAGCTGTTATAATGTGAAACCAAGATTGAATGATTGCTTCTATTAACTGGGTTTTATTGCTGGGTCGCTTCTGACTAGCACGTTTCTTTAGTTGGCTCCATAGATGTTCAATTAGGTTAAGGTCTGGCTTATTCCCAGGCCATTCCAGTAGTGGAATATGATTATCTTGAAACCACCTTTTGCACACAACAGCAACATGACATGGAGCTGAATCCTGTTGAAATATAAATCCTTCATTGTCTTGGAAAAGATCATGTGCGGAAGGCTTCAGTTTGGGCTCAAGTATTTCGTTAATGTATTTTTAGCCATTTATATTCCCATTAATCACACAAATTCTACCCACACCTTTTGATGTCATACAAACCCCAGATCATAACACTGAGTGTTTCACGGTACATGTAATGCAATCAGGATGCAAATCTTCTCCGATTATTCTTATGTATTTTATGCCATCACTACCAAACAAGGAGATCTTGGTCTCATCACTCCAAATAACACTGTCCCATTGTTTCTCTGTCCAGGTAACATGGGTTTTAGCCCAGTTTAGTCTTTTCAATCTTTGTTTGAGTGATAAAAGTGGCTTTTTTCGTGGAATTCTAGATTTTAGGCCAAATTCCTGTAGTCTGTGCCGAACAGCCCTTGCACTCAACTTCACATTGCATTGTGCCATTTCATCTTGTATACACCCAGATGATTTTCTTCTGTCACGTAGGCACAGTCTCTTAATTCTTCTATCATCACTTGCTATTGTGCACCTTTTCCTGCCTTTACCAGTGTGGTTTTGTAGTGACTGAGTCTCCTTATACTCTTCAAAAACTTAGAAATGCCACCTTTGGTTAAGTTTCCACCAATTTTTCTTCTAATTTCTTTATAACTGTAGCCTTGTTCACTTAATAATACTATTTTACATCACTTTCTGGGCAACCAGTCAACTTTTTGCGCCATTACTTTAATTTTATTACATTTTACAAGCTCACTAAATGAAAGAACACAAAAAAATTCAACCAATTTGATAGCGATCACATAACACATTGACAAATGTCCTCCTCTCAGCTTTAATACATGACATCAATAACTGAATCCTACTGTGATCTGATTGGTTCATTGCCAAAACAAGACTCATGCTCATTGGCTACAATCAGATGAAGGAAAGCTACCTGATATCAACCTAAGCAAGTTGTGCTTCCTTTTTCTGGTTATTTGGCTATAACATTTCATAGAATACAGATAATTGAACAAACTTTGTTGCATTACATTCTTGATTAAATTATTTTTCCATTGATATATAATTTTATGGTACTACTCCAAAACAAAGTGGTGCTATTAGCCATCAAATCTCAAATGTACACTTTTCCCAAAAGATTTCCACAATTTTGGCCACTATTGTATATTGCCTTTGGCTAGGCTGAATCTTCTGCTTCTAAAACTATGACAGATGAAAAACCCTTTGCTTTGTGCAAGTGCGTCACTTACACACCTCTGTCTTCTGTTCATCACTTTTGCAGATGTAATAGTTCCCAACCTTGTGATTGCTTCCTCATTAGGGAATTTTTATCATCCCTGCCCTCTCCAGTTCCATATTATTCTTTTTTGAGATGTGGGGCTAGTGTTTATAGATATTTTGTTAGTGGCAGGATTATTTCCTAATGACCTCCCAACATGGACTTTTCTATACATTGTATAGAAGTATAGACTTCTATTCATTGTATGTGTCTAGAATACATATGTAGGTTAATATTTTATTGACAGATGCTTGGACAGACCAATAGGCAGCCCTTGTTTCTCTTTGGTTCCCCATTTCCCCTCAGTAATTTCTTTGTTCCATTTTTCTTTATCTCATGTAGTGAAATATCTTGAATTTTATCAATATTTTTATCAACCTCTCCTCCCTACCCAAAATATTTTCTTTTCTCTTAATTATCACCTTAGACCACTGGTTAATACTTGAAGTGGGGCTTGTTTATTTTTTATTGGCTTTGTGGTTACCTTTTTCCACTTGTTTACATGCGTTGAGGAAAATGTTTACTTTAGTTAGTTGGTATCAGTAGATACCCCCAAGATACTCCTCAAACACTGTGATTGGGTTTGTTCTAGTAGTAATATATATTAAACCCTAAACTTCAGTTTGATATAATGGTTTGGCAGTAACTTTGGTATCATATACTTTTAATAAATGGAAAGAAAGTTGGAAAGTTGGTATCAGTAGATAAGTTTTTATTTGAGAATGTTTCTTCCTCTGCCCATTCTAGATACATTGATTTGAACATGGAATATAGGTGACATAGAATAAAAGCTAAGTTGTTATTAGAATGTGATACCATGTTTTAAATTCTTTTATAGAAAACAGAAGTTATCGAGGAAGCTTTTCCTGGGTAAGTGAAATGTAACCATTTCCTCGTATAACTGTAGAGATTCTGTTGTAGTAACTAGTGATGAAATACTTTATAAATATCTTGGCTTTACTTGTTTTAGCATGTTTATGGATACCCCAGAAGATGAGCGAACTAAATTAATTAGCTGTTTGAGTGCCTTTCGACAGTTCTGGAGCAATCTTTCCCAGGTGAGTATTTTATTTGCTGCTTTTTTAATGACATCCAATCCAAAATGATTCTCCAATCATTTCATAAGTTGCAGAATAGTTATATATATATGTGTGTGTGTGTGTGTGTGTGTGTGTGTGTGTGTGTGTATGTAAGGCCTTAAATTATTTCAGCTTAAAAGTTTTATCAAAATAAGAATGGTACAACCCAAAACTTTCAGTTGTCAATTCTTACATTGAGATTGTATGACTTTTAGGAAACTTTTATCAATATAAATATTTTTATTGATATTTAGTTTAGTTTTTAACAAATTGTGAAGTTGTTGAATAAATATATATTTTTATTTTACAGGAATCTCATGAACAGTGTGTTCAATGGATTGTAAGGTTCATACACAGTCAACATAGTCCTAAAAGAATTTCTTTTCTATATGATTGTTTAGCAATGGCTGTGGAGACTGGGTTACTGCCACCCAGGTATGTTCCTTTTAGATAAACTACAGTAGATAATTTATTATAGGAGATCAGTTGCTTAAAGATAATAATAATAATAATAATAATAATAATAATAATAATAATAATAATAATAATAATAATAATAATAATAATAATAATAATAATAATAATAATAATAATAATAATAATACATCAGATCTGCTTAGAAAAGATACTACTCATTATGTTTTTTCTTTAATTTTCCTAGAATGGTTTGTGAATCTCTGCTGAATTCTGACAATCTAGAATGGGAAAGGACACAGCTTTGGTCTCTGACATTTAAACTTGTTCAAAAAATAATTGGTGGTGTAGACTACAAGGTAATAACTATACATGTATGCTATTTTTTATAATGCAGCAATAATAGCTTCCTTATATTTTATAGCCTTATACTTAACATCTATGTATTTGTTTTTAAGATTTATAAGGCTGCCCAACTCAAACAGTGGCATCTTTTGGATACCATACAGCAGGGGTGTCAAACTCAATTTCATTGAGGGCCGCATCAGCATTGCAGTTGCCCTCGGGGGCCGGGTGGGTGTGGCCAGGGTGGGTGCGGCCTACTGGGTGGGCGTCGATGGAGTAGGTGTGGCCTACTGGGTGGGCATGGCCAGCTCTACATCATTCGCGTCAAGGGTGCCTGTGGGGGCCTGGGCAGGAGTGGGACAGTTCTGAGGGTCTCTGGCAGAAGGGGGTGGGACCGGGGCAAGCGCCAAGGCATGGTCCATTTCTTCATTCCTCACAAAGGGTGACACCTCCCCAGCATGCACCTGTTGTGGCTCCATCCTGTGGGTCCCTGTCATCGGAGGAGGAAGGCTCTGAACATGAAGGAGAGGAGATGGCCAGGCCTCCCTCTCCAGGCCCTTCCCCTCTGGTGCGGCCTTCGTTGTCTTCCGACGGAGAGGAGATTGGCCAGGAGCCAGGTGCTTCTGGGATTGGCCAGGAGCCAGGTGCTTCTGGGATTGGCCAGGAGCCAGGTGTATCGGACTCTGAGGAGGATACGTCTTGGCTGGATCCATGCCAGCGTCGGAGGGACAAGCGTGCGCAGCAGCTAAAACGCCGTGCCAGAGATTTCAGCTGAGTCACTGGGCCACACCCCACAGGCTATATAAGCAAGGGGTGTGCCGTTTGAAACTCTTGTGACGAACAATACTGAATCTTCTGTTGCAGCACTCTGGAATTATCCTGGACTTGATTTGTATTTGTACAGTGAGTTATCAGTAAAGGTCTTGGCAGGCAGCCACGGAGTTGCTGCCAAGTGTTTATCTGTATTTGGCAGTGCTGAGCAGTCTTTTAGCCCTCGGCTGACTGGTTGGGGTGTGTGAGTCGGACGGGGGACAGAACAGCACCCAGGGAGCGGGGCCAACATGGCAGGGGCAGGGCCTGGTTCCTCGCTGTTTCCAGACAAACTTGTGGAGCTAAGACTGAATGCCTTTCAGCATAGATGGCCACCACAAAATTGTACATTGGCTCCCGGCCGGCCTGGGCCAGGGCCAAGGCAGCGGGGGCCATTCCCTCACTGTTTCCAGGATGGCTTCGCAGGCCACATGAAACCACTTCGCGGGCCGCATCTGGCCCCCGGGCCTTGTGTTTCACATGTCTGGCATATAGCATAAAAACAAGCAATAAACCATCTCCACCCCCATATGTTATTAAACATGTACAATATATAATATATAAAATTAAATGTCTATGATAAAGATAGGAGATAGAGCTATATTTTCAATTTATTCTAATGTAGATTATAATGACTTACGAATTATAACAGTCTATAATGAATTCAGTAGTAGAATTGGAGAGACCTTAATTACCTGCTCCAGTGATTCTATTTTACCTGATGTTACAATCTAAATTATTATCAGATCAGTCAATAGTATTTCTAGTCGTAAGGGTTCAGACATCTCAAATGGGTTGGAACATGCATTGTCTTTTTCATCAATTACTTTACTCATTGTTATATGAGTATATGCCAGGCGTACTCATCTGATTTGTAGGATTTCTATAAAAGAAGGACTTTTGGGCTGGGATCATGGCACAGTCATTAAAGATGAATGGAGATATCAAATACAGGAAGTAATTTGTCATCTGCCTTGATTCCACACCATCAAGAAGATCACTGCTCATTAATTTGTCCTTCTACATTACATCAGGGAAGCAATGTATAACTTCTAACTAGAAAGAGAGCTGAAAAACTTCTAACTGACCTAAAAAAATTATGCAGATAGTTTGTGTGTGTGTGTGTGTGTGTGTGTGTTTAAAGAGAAGTGGCAGATTAGGCAATACAGTTTGAATGAAAAAGCTTATGTATTATCCTCTAGAACAGGGGTAGTCAACCTTGGCTCTTTTATGACTCGTGGACTTCAACTCCCAGAATTCCTGAGCCAGCACAGCTGGCTCAGGAATTCTGGGAGTTGAAGTCCACGAGTCATAAAAGAGCCAAGGTTGACTACCCCTGCTCTAGAAGATACACTAGAATGACAGGCATAAAATGTTTTTGTACAATTTGATATTAGCAGTGCTTTTTTTCTAAAAAAAAAAAAAAGGTGCCGGAACTCACACACATCATACAACCTGCCTTGCCTACTCTACAAGGTTCCATCCAAAAAAGGTGGTGTAACTCCGTTCTGGGCGTTCTATGAGAAAAAAAGCCCTGGATATTAGTGTTATAATTTTAATTCATTTATACAAAATTAAAAAGTGAATTTTGAATTTTACATTTTGGCATAATTTTCCTTTGGAATTTGATCTGTACGTTACAGGGTGTACGAGACCTTTTGAAGGGTATCCTGGAGAAGATCCTAACTATTCCTAACACTGTGAGCTCTGCTGTTGTGCAGCAGCTATTAGCAGCAAGAGAGGTAAGGATATTAAATGGAGAAAACTAGATCTGAATTGCTTGCTGTTTTTTAGAGGAACAATTCAACATTTATATAAATGTTTCAAAAAGAGACAACTGAGAAACATTCTGAGACTTTTCTGCTAATTAAATTTTCTTGTAATTTGCAGACTATATTTGCTTAGAGGTAGTAATAGCATTCTTCAATTGATACTATTTCCTTGGGGTACTCGGTATAGGTAGTTCTTCATTTAATGTTATTTAAATTACAGATTCTAAAAATATGTGGATTGTATTATTTAAATTAAGTTTGCTTTGCTGCTTTGGTGTTTTGTCCTGAAATAAAACAAAAGACTATTCATTATTCTCTAGTCTTCGTCAAAATGTTTAATGTTTTCAAATCTAATATTTTAATTTAATTTGTACAATATTTTTACTCAGAAACATGCATAATTTAAATAAACCCTAAACCTAATTTTAATTTAAATAATTTAAATGTGTGTGGCCTATTTTGAATATATTTTAAAAACTGAATGAATGTATGTATGTATGTATGTATGTATGTATGTATGTATAATTAATCTCAGTAGGAAAATGTTGTCTCATAGCAAATAATCCCATAATTGATGTAGGACCACCGAGAAACATAGGAACTCACAAAATCTTCAGAAATATGGCAAAGGTTTGGGAGGTAGAAATACACCAGTAAATACTAAATATCTAAAAAAAAAATTAAAAATTTTAAAAAATCTGGAACAATAATAAAATGGAATTGTTTGTGAAAGAAGACATGGGAAGCTGACTACAACTGGACAAGATTTTACATTGCACCATTTTAAATTTTGATTATATATATATATATATTATATATTATATATATATATATTATATATATATATCCAAATTTCTTTTTTCTGACAAAGAAATATATATAACTCTTCTCCGGTTATTGGTTTTTCCTTAGGTTGTTGCATATATTTTGGAAAGGAATGCATGCTTATTGCCTGCTTACTTTGCCGTCACAGAAATCCGAAAGTTGTATCCTGAAGGAAAACTTCCTCACTGGGTAAGATTTGATGTTTAAAAATAAAAAAAATAAATTCAATTTTGGACCTTACGAAGTC